CCAGTGAGAAGCCATGAGTACCTTGTTAAGTTTTGCTGTGGCTTTAAGTAAAAACTATAACGTGTCAGAGTAGGCAGCAGCAGGTTGCCTTGCAATCAGTAAATAATTTCCTGAAAGCAGAAACGGTAGCGGCCCACCACAAGGCCTATACATGTTATTGTCATCCTCCTGGCTGGGACCTCATGGTGTCACTCTCACAGAACGATAGCTGTCCAGAGGCACACCCCAGCCTACATGACTGCATGCAGACGCAGCCAGTGCTGGTAATAGCAACACCAGGGTCAGGAGGATCATAGGCTGCACTATGGAGGTGATAATACTTTGTGTTTCTCTTCAATAAAAGCTGCAGTTAAATGTTTAGGAAAGAATTCAAATAAAACACAATAATTATCTGTCATTCATCAATCTAAAAAGTGCATTTATAACAGATTTGTCAGTTTGTTAAATTTCAGGGTAACGTAAAATCACAAGTAAACCGCAGCTTTGCAGAGCTGCTGTAAAATATTACATTTCCTTTTTTTTTTTTTCAATTTTGTTGTTGCTGGTAAAGTGGAGTCAATGCAAAATATGGAATCCAACATTTATGTTGTTTTTAAGCATTTATTTGAGCTTTTTGAATCGCGTATACTGTAAGATCTGCCATAAGCTCTGTATATTGGGTCTGTGAATGCAGGTTATTGGTGTGAGGTCCATATCATCAGGATTGTATTGGAGGATCACTCTTGTTCAGGAAATGTAAAATCTTAGCTCTTAGAGTACCTCCCAGTGGTGTACTGTGGAATTAAATATTTTTTAAGCTGCTTAGTAAGTCCATTGCCTCCTTCTTTAAAATAACCCTGTTGTTGGAGAAATATATACACTCACCGGCCACTTTATTAGCTACACCTGTTCAGTTGCTTGGTAAAACAAATTGCTAATCAGCCAATCTCATGGCAGCAAATCCATTTAAACATATAGACAAGGTGAAGACAACTTGCAGAAGTTCAAACTGAGCATCAGAATGGGGAAGAAAGGGGCTTTAAGTAACTTTGAACGTGGCACAATTGTTGGTGCCAGACGGGCTGGTCTGAGTATTTCAAAAACAGAGAATTGGTTTTACAGAGAATGGTCTGAAAAAGAGAAAATATCCAGTGAGTGGCAGTTGTGTGGACAAAAATGTCTTGTTGATGACAGAGGTCAGAGGAGGATGGGCAGACTGGTTCGAAATGATAGAAAGGCAACAGTAACTCATATAGCCACTCGTTACACCCAAGGTATGCAGAATACTGTCTCTGAACGCACAACATATCGAACCTGGGCTGCAGCAGCAGAAGACCGCATCGGGTGGCACTCCTGTCAGCTAAGAACCAGAAATGGAGGCTACAATTCACACAGGCACACCAAAATTGCACAACAGAAGATTGGAAAAACATTGCCTGGTCTGATGAGTCTCGGTTTCAGCTGCGACATTCAGATGGTAGGGTCAGAATTTGGCATAAACAACATGAAAGCATGGATCCATCCTGCCTTGTATCAACAATTCATGGATGTGCAGCCGTCAAATCTGCAGAAACTGCATGATACTATCATGTCAATATGGACCAAAATCTCTGAGGAATGTTTCCAACACCTTGTTGAATCTATGCCATGAAGAATTAAGGCAGTTCTGAAGGCAAAAGGGGGTCCAACCCGGAACTAGCAAGGTGTACCTAATAAAGTGGCCGGTGAGTGTAGACTTCCATTGCTAACCACTTTCCTAGACTGAGCACCTAGCTGCCATGCTCATTTTTTAATTGTATTGCTTTCTATGCCAGAGATTCTGAACTAGTATGTAAAAGAAGTCAGAATTTCTGCTGTTTGGGTCAGTCCTAGTATCAGCACACCATACAGGCTCCTAACATTTTTCAGGTCAGCAGTGGCAGCCTGCTTATTTTTTATTACTAGTTTCTTCTAAAGGGGGCTTGTCAAGGTACCCAGTCCATGGCTGGCATCTGTAAGCAGTGCTAATGGATACACAGTGATGTGCCTGCCCTGGAAATGGCCCTGCGTCCAGGTAATAGTAGCCGATGTCACCATTCTTGTGTCACTTTGCTTTGTGAAGCTTGTGAAAGTCCTACATAAGAGCTGTTTCCACTGTTGGCCATAAAGCCTTTCTTTCAGCTCCCTCTTCTGATTCTGGTATGAGTGCTTACACCTTCCATCCCTGGGTCCACTAAGAGTGGCGAGTGGGGGCCTCTCAGATTCAACAAGGGGATTGTGGCTGGGCAGGACTAAGACTTGAAGTCCAGGAAGGCAAACCCAAAGTGAAACCAATTTCAGAAGGGTGCACAGATCATTTTCTGGTTGAAAAGGCACCACCTTGTGTTGCTAGTTTTTAGGCAGTTTAAATTGCTTTCCAGTTCATGTTAATTGATGCATTTCATTTGTTATGTGAGGGTGTTTGACTTTTTTTGTTCAGTCAGTATAACCTCTTCTATGTTTACATTGCTTTCCATCAAGTATTTAAAGTGTATTTTTAGTAATTTAAAGCTGACCTCCAGGCAGATATAAAAAATTAAATAAATTAAATAATTTTGTGTATTTCTGTAAAATGTATTTGGAGTAGTCATGGCATATATTTCTCAATCTGTATTAATAGCATCCTAATGTAATTCCCTTGCACAACATCATTCAGACTATGAGGGGGCAGGGGCAGTACTGGGAGCCAGTCCGGCTCTGCTGCAGGAGGAGAGTACATAATTACTTATCAGTGTGCTGCTACTCCTATGTCCAATCAGCAGGCTGCATAGAGGATGATGACACCACTAGATTTCTTAAAGGATACGTTCACCTTTGGTAACATGTTACATGTTCCTCCCAACTCCGCTGCATCTAGTGATGGCTAGTGGGGCAACTCATCCCCATTTCTGCTATTTCAGTTTTTGTAGGTAATTGTGAACTTTTCCCTTTTTCTTCAATATTTTCTATATCCAGTTCTTTTTCCATATTTACAGTTTCTTCAATTTGACACATATTGGATACACCCAGGGGCAATCTAGAGCATTCTCCTATATTGTTTTCCATCTCCCGTCTTCCACTTGTTCCATATTGTCTCTCTGAGGTTTGACCCTCTGGACTTTCTCTTGTGTGGGCATATATTTTTTAATTGTGCTTGTACTTATTTGAGATGTTTTAGTTCCTCCCCCTGATTTGCTCTTCATATTGTTCATATAATATTTCTATCTTTTAAGGTCAGAGAACAGGAAATTACTTCCACAGAATAGAATAGAGTTATAGTCCACTGTGGATCTTCCTATCATTTTTATTTGGCAAACACTGATTGTAGCTCTTAGCTCCTCCAGATTGTTCCCCCACCACTTTCCTCCCTTGGGGCTCTTTATGCCTCTTTTCTTTTCTTCTATCACTTCTGGGCCCACTAGGTGATCCCACATAAAGTTCCTTTTGACAATATAAATCTATTTTAATTTAGACACACCACTTCCCTCAGCATCTCGTACATCGCCTCCATTCTACCTTCATCAGCTTTGCTGCTGCGTCCTTACTGTTACCCTGTGTACCAAACACCACCGGGGTACTCAGTCCCCCTCGCCAGGGCATTCCAGGGTGGTCTAACACGATCTGAATTGAGGGGATTACCAACGGTGGGATCCATGGTGACCTGCTCACTCCAGTTCTTAGTATGTTGGCTCCCCTCCTCTCATACCCGCCGGTGTCTCCCAGTGCTCTGTCACAGTGACCACGTGACCTCACCACTCCACTGGAGTCCATCTCCCCTCCGGTCAGCGACCGGCTCGGACCCCTCCGCCCACACCACAACAGCAGGCGAACAGGACACAGGAGCGGGACACCCCTCGGGCAGGGTAAGGTTGGGGCATTTCAGATGTGTCCGCTACTCCTAGGCATTACTTCCGGCGGTTCTCAGGAGCTCTCACGCCATGCACCTTGTCGGCACCATGGTCAGGCTCCTCAGTTCACTGTCTTATCCTCTCAATCTGTATCTGCCTGCCCACACGGGCATATTTGCTGCAAGGCAAACAAGGCTTTTGCCTTGGGCGGCATTTTTCAGGTAGGGGGGGTAGCGCAGCCCCCCCTGAAGAGGGGACACATGTGGCAGGCAGATGGGGATCAGGTGAGGCACTGCCAGAGCTCCACCTTGGGATTTGAGAGAGGCTGCGGGCTTCTGGAGGGTGTAGGTTGGGGCTGACTTGCATTCCTGCACAAGAGTGACACTGGGGATGGCTGGCTGCTTTTATTCCACACATCTCTCTGTCTGTGGCTCTGGGGTGAACTCTCTCCTCTTATTTATTTATTTATTTATCCGGGGGCACCTGATTTTTTTGTGTTGCCTAGGTACAAAAACAAAACGCACAACTGCCTACGGGCACACAAATACATTGACACAGATCTGCAGGAGTCCTGCATGGCACCTGCAGTCTGCTGATTCCAGGGTCCTAGTAGAAAAAATAAGCGCACCTTTCTTTTACCTGCAGAAAAGATGTGTGGTTTATTATTTTTGTTAAAGTGAACTTCTCCTTTTAACTCTGCAGTAAGCCCTATTGGCTCTCCTGCCTGCCAGAAAAGTGACCAGGATTGTAAATGATTTGTACAGATAAGATTGCTCATATTGGTGTATTTTAACTTTATGTAGCTGTTCTGGGTGTCAACTTTATGGTGGAAGCAGCTATTGCCTTTGCTGAACCATCACTTTATTGAAAATTGGTGTAAATTGTTATGATACAGTTGATTTTTTTGGAAAAGGGTGTCTGAAATACTGCTGTAGCACCTCTTTATGCCTGCGCCCATGGTTAATAGGTGACAGCTAGACTTGTATAACAGTTATTGATTTCGGAAAGCTTTCTAAAAGGTGCTCAGTTTGGAAGGAGCTGATAAACCAATGGCTTTCTGGCACTAGGTGGTGTTGCAATCTGGAATTTATATCATTCATACTATTAAATGTACTGTAAATTCACTGACTGAGCAATATATTCATGGTTTTATTTTTATGTTTTTTTCTCTTTTAAGGACTAGTGTCCAGATCTTCACCAAAGAAGCCTAGAAGTCGGAGTATCTTTAAAGCTCTCTTCTGTTGCCTTAGTGCACAGAATGTCAGCCGACCAGGGGGCCCATGTGAGGCTCCCATCCAAAAGGAGGAGGCCCAGTCAACTCCAAAGGTATTCCTAATATTGACTCTCCTTCTAGTACAAGGAAATATTTTGAAGAGAATTTGTCCCCACTTTCTTCATTTGATTTTCTTTCAAGTGGGTGCTGGGAGGTACCAGGGGAAACATTATTATCTTTCAGATTAAAATGCCAATTTCTCCAAAAGTGGAGGGGGCAGTTTACTAATAACTTGAGCCACAATTGCAAATAATTCCCACTCTTCCTGATCTTCCTTGTAATTCTCTACACACACCAGCCACAAATGTAAAGGGTCAGGGAGAGGCTCATCTGAGCACTTTATTCAGCCTATCAGTATATTGGCCTTACCCAATTAGGGCTCATCCACACGGGCACAGAGGCCTGAAAGTGCGCAGAATTGAATGTGATTAACTGCTCAGGAGTGCCAGATGATCCATATGGCCTGACAAATCACTGATAGATGCAGCAGCTGTATTGATATTCTTTGACATCCATACAGAAATGGACGCACAAACCCTGGGCACAGCCTGTCTGGCCACGCATCTGTCTCTTCATGGATGTAAATGGATGTGTGGGAAGATCAGTAAAGCTGCTGTGCTGTCAGCCTATTGTTGACTTTTAACAAGGTGCTCCCTGTGGCTGTATTGAACTCTTGTGTCACCCAGGTGCATAAACAAGGCCTATCTGCAATCTCTATGTGTGAATGAGCCCCAAGTGGTCATTTCACACAGAGAAGAGGCATACTGGGAGGCTAGATAAAGAGACTGGTTAGTTTTAAACATCTTTTGATTTTGTTGCATATTGCTTTCCTTATTCATTTTATTCCTGTATATTTTGCCAGTTAGTTGTGTGGTTCTGCTCACCTGTTTTGGGGTCGATGCATCTGGCCAGCAATGTATAATTACATTCTGTTTGCCAGTTACCCCTGCTTAATTAAATTTCTGTGATGTACTATATATGTATGTACACATATTTTATATGTATGTATAATATTCTAACTAAATTGCTCAGCCGTTATATACTCCTTTTTTTTTTTTTTCAGGCGGATCTGTTACAATGTCTTCAGTACCAGTTCTACCAGGTATTTGTCGTTTTATATGTCATGCTCATGATTGCATACTCATGCTCCTAACAGACAAAAACCCAAAACACACAATGCTTAGATTTACCTTTGCTTTGTAAAGTAAGAAGCTTTAAAACACATTCATGTAAAAAGCCAGTTGATGCTGTGCTTAGTCAGGTTACAGAAAAAAAGTTTAAATCGTCTGTTTGGCTCAGTTACATATTTGACTTACTGTGGCCAAAGTTTTGGGAAGTAAATTTAGCCATATAATAGGCCTATTGGTCTGCTCTTAGGCCTTTTTTTTACATTTGTGGTGTTTGAGCTGCAGTTTTACTGCCCCAACCACCCACCTTAACTTGAAATGGCAGCCGAAGGGGCGGTACACATTCCACAGTATTATTTTATCACATGTTCTTCAAGTGATTTTGGCTGTGCCCCAACTGTTTTGCAACTGTGTGTAATGTCTATGGTTTCGGCATGGTGCCCTTGGCTTCCAAGGGTCAAAACAGGTGATGAGGGGGCGACATATGTCCTCTCAGCTCCTGTCAAATGCCCTCTGAAAAGCAAGCCACTGCAAATTGCCTTTTAGAGGGGGGAGCAATGAGAGCTGCAAGTGTAATCAAGCCCTTAGGAAACTTCAAGAGTCAGAATGTTAGTTTTAAAGGCTATGTTCACGTTTAGGAGCATGTTGCACCCATATTTAAGGTGTAATATATAACATGCTCCTATGCAACCAACTACTGCCAGTGCAACCCACTTTGTTACAGTGGACGGGGGTCTTCTCCCTGCACCCGCTGTCATAATTTGAAAACAGCACGGCCTTGCAGGGCTCCACCCAGATGGCTGCGTCATTCATTCTCAGTTTCCTGTTAATTAGACTACAAGTGCCATCCGCTATTGCGGCTGACAGCTTGAAGTGCTCAATGAATTGCGGGGATACTGGTGAGCACTCTTAGTTCATTGACTCTTCCTGCTGTTCAGAAAAAGCCTGACAGTATGGGAGGTACAGGCAGACAGAGTCTGTAGGATCCTGGCATTGCACCCACAACCTGCTGATTGTGGGTTTAAGGCTTTAAAGGCTGCAATGTAAAAGAAATAATAAATGCAAATTGTAATACCTGCAAAAAAAATTTCCATTATTTATTTATTTTTACAAAAGGTGAACTTATCCTTTTAAGTATCTATAGGTCTGATATATTAACTCCATTTTGCAGTGTATATACAATTTACCTATTCAATTTCCTTTAGAATTACCTTCAACTATGTAGTGCAAGGGCCTGCCTGATTGCATACAAATTGAAAGTGTTGAGGTTTGCCCATCTATTATATTGTTTTGGTAAAGGAAAATTGTATAATGTATGGCCAGCCTTAGACAGGCCCTCTTAGGACAGTTGATGGTTCACAAGACTTGTAATAATCCCATTTATTCTGTGTTGTCCTCTAAACCACAGTAAGGCACTTTGCTTTGTTAAATATTAGTGTTCTGTAATCATACATTTTCACTTTATAACATTGACACTCATAAAACACTAAAAATGGCTTATGTTTAGAGTATATTCCGCTTTTAATTTCTTATCCCTCCAATCCTGTCCCCCAGTGTTTTTTTGTTTTTTTTTTTTCTTCTCATTTTTCATGTTCTGTGCATAGTTTGTAAATCTCAAGAAACTAATTTGTGAAATGCACCTTCACCAATAAGCTTCTTCCACCTGCACTTTTAATGCTTCAGCCAGCGGGACCGAAGAGGTGGCTCAGCCAGCTGAGACTGCTGCCTGGAAGCATCTGTGTGACCTGCAGGTCGCAGGATCTAATCCCGGCTAGCTCTGCTCACTCTTTCATCTTTTCCAGGTAGATAACATGAAGAGCAATGATCATTGAAGTGCTGTCTTTTCTGTATTTGTAAATACCATTTTTTTTTCCTTAAGGAAGAATTAGGAATGTCTAATAGATTTTCCCCCTGTGTGACATAGAGTGAGCATACTTTTTATAAAGAAATCCCTTCCTACTGAACCCCTTCAGATTTCTGAAGATGTCTTTAGATTTATTAGTACTAAAATACCTCTTCACCGAAACATGCACAAAATGGGTCATATTGTCAAATTACTATGCTTAAAAAATGAATTCACTAATGAGATTTTATTTAATGTTCTCCAGAATCTGGTACAGCCTTATAGTGATATTGGGAAAAAATACAGAAATTGATGAGTCTGTTGCCATAGTTGCCTGAATTGTGTGCATTTTTTAAAAAGATGAAGGCAACACTCCTGTCAGCCCAGTTTGATGCATGTTTCATGCAAGTGGGACAAGGTTCCCAAGCAGTATTAGGTCCTAGTACAGCTAGTGCCAGTGTTGTCCATCTTCCCTTACTTGTGATTTACCTTAGTCTGGTGTCTGATTGTGTCAGTTTGTTTTGTGTGTTTTGGCCTTGTGTTTTTTTCCAGTGAAATTTTTATAACTGAAATTGAATGCTTATATCTTGTGTCTTTTATTTCAGATTCCAGGTACCTCCTTGCTCCCTGAGGTAGCGCCCAGGGATAAGGGGAAGATATGTATGGTGATTGATTTGGATGAAACACTAGTTCATAGTTCTTTTAAGGTAAGGAGTGTTCTGGATTAAAATGGCAGCATGTGAAAATAGAATGTCATACACTTGTAACAGCAGCTGATTGTTATGGGTTTACTGCATCCTTTTCTTGTTTGCACCAGTTCAGTAACTCAATCTAATCTGGCACAAATCTGACATTACAATAAAAACAAACAGGAGGGCGCAAACGCCTAGTGCATTACCAACGATTTTTTGTTCATAAAACATAGATGCCAACTGGATACTCACAGAAGTGAAGAATAAAATAGCATAAAAAACCACAAAATGCAACAGCGTTGGGAATCGTGTGTAAACCATAACCCTACTGGACTGGCAAGCTGACATGTTTTGGAAGTGTACCTCCTTCTTCAGAGCAATGCCAACAAACATGTCTTAAACCCAGATAGAGAAATAGATAGATTTTTTTTTTAAACCATATATTAAGTCCCACTGCCCTCGTTATGGGAGATGGAGCCACAGGTCATGTCAAAGGTTATCAAACAAACCTGATGATCTTTGACATTACCAGTGGCTCCATCTCCCATAACGAGGGCAGTGGGACTTAATTTATGGTTTAAAAAAGAAAAAAAAATAAATTAGCACATGTTTGTTAACATTGCTCTACAGAAGGAGGTACACCTCCTCGCAGAATCTTATACAGCACAGAATCTTATACAGAACTAATTAAAGTAAAGGAGGTAGCCTAAGAAATCACGATGAGATTGGTCGGAATAACAAAGTTATGGAGAAATGGATACAGATAGAGAAAGATAAGACAAGGATGGAGGGATGGGTGGGGGGGGGTGGGAGATGGAGGGGGTTCTAGAATGTATTTATTCATTTAGGGGAGAAAAGAAAAAAGTATATTTTGGAAGATGGAATGTTTTAATGTTGTTTGTATAAGTATGAAATAAAAAGTTATAAAAAAAAAAAAGGAGGCACACCTCCGAAACGCGTCAGTTTGTAAGTCCAGCATGGTTATACACAATTCCGTAAGCCGTGATTCTGGTTTTTATGCGATTTTATTCTTCACTTCTGTGAGTATCCATTTGGCATCTGTTTTTTGAACAATAAATCGGTAATGCACTAGGTGTTTGCACCCTCCTGTTTTGTTCTTTTTGTAGCCTATACAAGATTTCCCCATCTGAGGAGGGCTGCATCAACTACACATTTCTGGCAGTTTCCACATCACAAATCACTTGTAGTTCTCTCCTTTGGTAGATCTCTGAGTACAAATCTGATATTAGTGGCATAATGCTAATTCCAAGCTGGCTACTAGAGATGAGTTTAGGTATATTCCTGCAGCTCATGGGGAATAACCCTGGCACCCAGCTCAAAAAAAAAAAAAAAGTGAGTATTTGGCCCTGACCTCCTACTGTGTGAAGCTAGTCACTTTCCCAGAATACCTTCCAGCTCAGCTGCAGACCTCAGACCACAACACCAAATGGTAGATAATAGGCCAGCTTTCTTTTCTGCTGTGCACTCACATCTCAATTTATTAAAATGTAACTCAAGGCAAAAGTTTTTTTTTGCATTTTTGGATTGGAGATGGGATTAGAACACCTTTTTGGTTTTAATTTTTGTATGTACCTATGTTTGGGAAATTCACCTTATCTATTTGTCATACTTACAGTTATTGGCAAATGAATAAAAAAAAAAATCCCAAATTTTGGGTTGTCCTCAGGAAAAAAAATCTTCCAATACGGACACTGGTTCTGGTGACCCTGATGACAACCAGAGATTCCCTCACTTTGCAGGGATTTCCTCTTGCTTCTTGTTTTTCACTCTGTGACAGGAAGTGAAGGGGAATCTTCCTAATTGGACACAGATGGTAAAATAAAGCTGACAGGGGTTATAACCCTTCCTTATGCTATCCAAAATGGAAAAAAGGTTTGCCTTTCATTTGGCCTTAATACCCTGATGGTGATGTCACACTACAACTGTGAGTTGATTTAAACTGGCAGTTTAGGTAATAAATTTGTGTTGCTGCATTCAGTTATTGAAATGTTTTTACTGATATAGTAAAGTTTGTGTTATGTTTTCGAAGTATGGTAGTATAACTTGCAAATAATTTGTTGTAAATTAATTTTTTTTATATAGAATGCATGATCATACTGCATTCTGTACTGCACAACAGTCCTGGGCAAGCATCTATCTTCTGTAGCTCAAGCAGTAGTCCAGTCAATGCATTTTGTGCTTTGTGGTCCTTGTTGTAGAAATGATTAGCTGAATGTTATTACTGGGTATAAATAGTCTAGTTAAAATGCTCCCAATTCTTAATTTACTTTGAATGTGGTTATTCTTGTTCTGTTTATTGTTTTTAGCCCATCAGCAATGCAGATTTCATAGTACCAGTGGAGATTGAGGGGACCACTCATCAGGTGAGAGGACACTGTTTTCTTTAGAAAAAAAAATGCTTTTGTTTCAATAATAGATCAGAGTGGAAAGACATGGCTGCTACCTGGTTCAAGTAATCCAGGATAGGCTGTTTCCTCACCGCGCGGCCTACTCTTGATTACTTGTTTCAGGAGGCAGCTCATATTTCATCTGAGCTCCATCTCCCCGCTGGTTGGAATCATTTAGACATCGCTCCAAAGAGAAGAATGGAATACCTGAAGGTGTGTCGCAAGATGCCATGATGTAATGTATATATTTGTTTTTTTCTGCATTTTAAAAGGATTTCACCTGGACAGAAACATGGGAGCAGCTAATGCTGACATGTGTTTGAGCTTGTGTAAATGTGAGTTGTTGTCAAAATCTGCCATTTAAATACAGAACTGCTCAATCGCAAAATTCACTCGGATTTGATCTAGTTTACCAAACCTATTGTAACAGAGTCTGCTGTGTCCAAAGAAACACAATGTAAATTAAAGCAGGTCAAATGTACCTTGAGAATTGTCATTTACACTACACCAGTGAAGCAACTGGGAATGCTGACGCACGTCTGATGTGCACCTCCAATGCCTGCCTGCATAGGCTCTTTGAAAGTGCACGTTCTGGGGCTGTCATTGTTATCCTTGCTTTCCTATGTAGTGATTTACTGACCCGAAGCAAGCATGTGATTAATAGGTGTCCTAATGCCTAATGTGCTCATACGTGTTTTCTTGTTTTGGGTCAGTGACTCACTCAAATAGTTAAAGTCGTTCAAAAGTCTGGAGGTTTTTTTTACCTTCATGAATACTATGCATCAAGGTAAAAAACCTTCAGTGTGCAGCTTCCCCCTCATCCCCCCTAATACTTACCTGAGCCTGATTTCGATCCAGTGCTGTGCACGAGAGCATCGGCTCTCCCAGGTCTCTTCACCTCATTGGTTCAGTCAATCATAGCCAGTGAGTAGGGATTGGGGGTGGGGCCGAAGCATGTTTTGTGTGTCTTATGGACATACAGGGTTGGGTCAGGAGCGAACATGCCTGACTGCCCCAGAGCAATTGGCTTGCTCTGGGGGCAATCAGCAAGGGGGAGGAGCCAGGTGCGCCGGCGGGGGACCCAAGAAGAGGAGGATCAGGGCTGCTCTGTGGAAAACCACTACATAGAGCAGCTAAGTATAGATATGTTTGTTATGTGTTAAAAATAAAATTTGTACCTTTTTTACAGTCACTTTAAGTCAGGATCAGGGAGGCAGCTCTAGCACATGATTCACTTTAAAAAGCAAGTAATCAATGGTAGCACTCACATTTCTGTCCTCAAACGTTCCTTTTAAAACTGGATTTCCATGTTTTTACTATCTCTTTTTTTCCAACTTTATCCTGCAGTGGACAGTGTTTTTAACATGGTTTCCAGTTGCCCTACACACACCAGAGCAGTCAACAAAAGTAGAAAATGCAGCATTTTTTTTGTATAGAACACATCCGGAACTCATAAAAAGCTCACCATAAAACACATGTCCTTAATGTAGATGAAGAAAAAAGAGGGAAAAAATGCCCTGGAATGCATCAAAAAAGCCTCAAAAACACGCATGCAGAAATGCATCCAGAACACAGATATTTTGGTGTGAACCAGACCTTATAGTTTGTGATGTGTGTTCTCTCAACTGTTTATCATGATATTGTTTTGAAGCTACCTAAGATACCCCTCTGCATCTTTTACTTACTATAGGTATATGTTCTGAAAAGGCCTTATGTTGATGAGTTTCTGGAAAGAATGGGTCAGCTCTATGAGTGTGTGCTATTCACTGCTAGTCTTGCCAAGGTAAGAAAGAAGCAAGCTTTGTCCTTCTGTGTTCCAGTTCTTTTCTTTACCTCTGTCCATTTTGTTGGCCATTCTTGTATATAAATATATAAATTCACTTGTATGAAATAGTCCTATTGATCAGTAATCCTGCTATGTACTTGGGTAGATTGTGTCAAAATACTATAGAGAAAATGTAAATCATGAATTTGGTAAAAATGGAAGGAGCACTGTCACCTACAGCACAACGGAATAGAGCTAATTTCAGGCTAAATCGAAAGTTGAAATATGTATATGGGGAATAGTTTTACTTGCTAAAGTATTTGTGTGAAGTTAAGACATTTTGTCCATCCAGTCCTGATATTTACGCATCCATGCCAGTCAGGAGATCTAGTTTGGTGGCCTGGCTTTTTCTCCTGCTGAAAATAAATATAGTTATGTCACCTCTATGCACCCAACCTGTAATTGAATAATAAAGGTCAGCAGCAGACTGACAAGCTCATCTCTCTCTTTACTCTCTCCTCCTGTTAGCATGTTCCTTTTGAGCAAATGAATATTGTTGATCAGCCTGTTGCTACTCCACTATCAGTCTGTTGCTGCTCCACTATCAGTCTGAATTGTACTGTACTGGGGTATTGCAAGAGGCTGATACCAAGTCAAATTGAAGTGCTTACATTAGCTGCATTAAAAATGCATTTTACATACATATTTTATTTTTTATTTCAGAAAAAACTGCATAAATTGATGTATATGTTAGATCTGCTTGGAATTCAGGTTTAAAAGAGAAGTGCGTGGTTTAAAAAAAAAGCAAGCAATCATACTCGCCTAGGTGAATGCAGCATCGGTCCTATGCTGCATCTGTCACCCTCTGACTCTGGCTGAGAGGTTGAGCCAGCTGCCAGTTCGTTATGTAGGTGGATCCCGACATTAAAGTTGTCATCCATCCACAGCCTGGACTGGCTGAATGACGTCAGCTGACAACAGACTGTTGGCTGAATCTGGGTCACAGGAGTGCACTCCTGTGACTTACAGACGTAGAGCCCTACTTTGGCCCTACTTCTCTTTTGAGCAAGCCTTACATTCCTCCTAAAATGGTCTAATTTGCATGTTGTACTTTTTTGTCTGCCCTTGTCAGATGCTTAAAAATGAACTCAGGGCAAAAGCAGTATTGGGATATTATCTAGGTAACAGTAATGTACCTCTAATGATGTGTGTCCCACTTGTGGGTCCTGCTTTGTTCCTGAAACTGTTAGAATCATGCACCCCCTGACAGTAATGAAGGAGCTGAACTTCTGTTCCTGAAACGTACAATCAAGGCTGGTGCACAACAATCACAGCGAGTCAGTTGAAGCCTCCTCCATTCATAAAACATCTTGCATTCTTTTCTGTGATTGGACAAGGGGCACATGAAGATCATGCTGGTATGAATGCTGGATCACATTAAGTATGTGCGGGTGACGGTTAATGTTGGCAAAGGCTACTTAAGCTACATGTGGCCAAGTTGGTCTTGAATTCCTAAAAACTCTGTGACAACTGCTAGGTGGATAATTGTCTGGTTTTGTAAATGCAAAGTAATGGGACCTCACCTGTGTAAAGGAGGGCTGAAATGTGCCTTGTATAAACCATCTAGGTATTAACTACTCCCTTTATTTTGTCTACACTGTATAAGATCGGGTAAACAACCGATAATGGTCAGGTGTTGGCCAGATGATCTATGGTAGTCGTGGGCTACTACACACTATTGCCTACTGCAGATTCCTTGTATCGGCCTATTATACCATTGGTGTAATAAGCAGGAGGTAATGTCTAAATATCTAACTCTCCTCCTTAGTATGCTGATCCAGTGACAGACCTTTTGGACAAAGAAGGGGTCTTCCGTTCCCGGCTCTTCAGAGAAGCTTGCGTCTTCCACCAGGGTTGCTATGTCAAAGACTTGAGTCGACTAGGAAGAGACCTGAAGAAAACCATTATCTTAGACAATTCTCCAGCATCTTACATCTTTCATCCAGAAAATGCAGTAAGTGCCAATACTAGTGTATGCTGACTCTCTTACGTTTCCATAAAAAAACTCATTTTCCATTTAATTGCACCCTGGAGCAAGTACATGCACTTTTTTCACTTCATTAATAATGCAGTTAATATCTTGTTGATTGTCCCAGTTATCTGTCAACTGAGCTACCTAATCAAAAACAATGAGGAAGAGAGGCTTTCTGTTGCGAAAACTGTAGAGATGAGTATTAAAGGGGATCTTGCACCTGTTTTAATAGATTTGTTTAGAAATAAGCAAGATGTACTAAAAGTGGATACAATTTTTATGTTTTCCTTTGCATCAGCATTTGAACTAGGCAGCCGAAAAGGACACAATCATTTATGTTTAACCACTTTTATTACGTATTTGCATACAATTTAAACTTGCAGTACAAATACAAATCCTGCCTGAATGAATGCATCCAAATTCGTACAACCCAGATAATGTAAAACAAGAAATCGAGTTAAACAATGGTTATGAGACATAGATCGCAGGTATAGTATCAAAACCATCAGGTCAGCAAAGCCTGTGGGCTATATTGAAAAAGCGGCAGATGTAAAAGAAAAGGTATACTCTAGGTGGGATGCCTAACAGCCACTTCAAGTTCAACTGTGGGTACGATAGCCAAGTTAGCAGGTAACACAGTAAGGCCAGCTATCAGGTGAAGTATACAGTACAAATAGTAGAAGTAACAGCAAGAATGAAGAAAATAAGGGAAGAGAGAGGGAAACAAAAGGGACCATGGGAGGAATTTGGAGGTGACAGGGTCTTTAGCCCGTAGTAGAGGTAAAGGAGTCAAAGTCAGAGGAGTATCTGAAATGAAACCATACATCCACGTTAGTTTGTATGAATTCGATTTGTCCTCATCCCATGTGATCATACGCTCCACATAGTCAACCTTGTCCATTTCACAAGCCCATTCAGGCATGGATGGGCCCACGGCCTGTCGCCAGTGCCTGGCTATCACAGAACTGCTGTGATAGACACACAGGGCTGCTGTGATAAAGTGCCTAGCTAAGTTTCTTATAATTTGTCTGTAGGCACCTGACAACACGGACAATACAGTAATTTGAGGTTCATTTGGGATTTTATCTCCAACACGTTTTCTGAACAAATGTAATATTTTATCCCAGAATGGGAGAATTTTTGGACAGGTGCCCCAAAAATGGGTCATGGTGCCAGACTCCTGCAAACATCACCAGCAAGTATCATGAACACGACATAAGCATTCAGACTATCATTTAGAGATGTCACCATAATCTCCAGGATAGAGTTATTAAAGCAGAGCTCCACCCAAAAGGGGAAGTTCTGCTTTAAGTCTTTGTCCCCCGATCCCCATTAAGGATTAGCACCTTTGGGGAGCGGGTACCTGAACCTGACAGGTACTCGCTCCCACTTCTGCTGATCAGAAGTGGAAGTAGTCTAACCCCCCCATCCCCATAGTCTTCTGGGACACGTGACAGATCCCAGGAGACTATGGGGCCATTCACAAAGGCAGAACTTTTTGCGCATGTGCAGTGGGCACCCGTCTGTGACGTCGCAAGCTGTCGCAAGCTGCACAGCCGGGTGCCCACACTAAAGATGCCAGTGCTGGGGAGAGAAGACGGCCAGTGAAACCAGCCATGGTGAGGACACCTCTGGACCGAGGGACAGGTAAGTATCTGTATTTTAAAAATCAGCAGCGACAGTTTTTGTAGCTGCTGACTTTTATTCTTTTTTTTTTTTTTTTTTTTTTTTCAGCTGGAACTCCACTTTAAGTAGCATATATTTCTCGAGATCTTTTAACTGAATGCAAGAGTTGGCCAGCTGGATTTTTAACAGATACAGTTGTGCTCAAAAGTTTGCATACCCTGGCAGAAATTGTGAAATTTTGGCATTGATATTGAAAATATGACTGATCATGCCAACAAATTGAAGGATGATGATCATATGAAGCCATTTATTATCCAAAAGTTGTTTTGCCTCCTTTTTAAATCATAATGATAACAGAAATCACCCAAATGGCCATGATCAAACGTTTATATACCCTGGAATGTTTGGCCTTGGTACAGACACACAAGGTGACACACACGGGTTAAAATACCAATTAGAGGTTAATGTCCCACACTGTGGATTTTTAAATTGCAATTAGTGTCAGTGTATAAATAGTCAATGAGTTTGTTAGCTCTTACATGGAAGCACTGACTAGGCTAGATACTAAGCCATGGGGATCGGAAAAGAACTGTCAAAAGTCCTGCGTAACAAGCTAATGGAACTTTATAAAGACGGAAAAGGACATATAAAGATGTCCAAAGCCTTGAATATGCCAATCAGTACTGTTAACCTATTAAGAAGTGGAAAGTTTGGGTATCTCTTGATACCAAGCCAAGGTCAGGTAGACCAAGAAAGATTGCAGCCATAACTGACAGAAGAATCGTCTGGGATTCAAAGAAAAACCAACAGGCAACTTCAAAAGATATACAGGCTGCTCTGGAAAAAGATGGTGTGGTTGTTTTAAAGGAGTAGAAAATGGTTATACTTGAACAAAAATTAGCTGTTTGGCCGAGGTGCCAGAAAGAAGCTTTTGCTGCACCAATGACACAAAAAAGCCTGGTTACAATATGCCTGACAACACCTTGACATGCCTAACCAGGCCTTTTTGTGTCATTGATTCAGTAAAGGCTTCTTTCTGGCACCTCCACCATGCAGCTCATTTTTGTTCAAGTGTCATCATATTGTGCTCCTTCAAAACAACCACACTGTCTTTTTCCAGAGCAGCCTGTATTTCTTTTGAGGTTGCCTGTGGGTTTTTCTTTGAATCCCGGACAGTTCTCCTGTCAGTTATGGCTGCAATCTTTCTTGGTCTACCTGACCTTGGCTTGGTATCAAGAGATACCCAAACTTTCCACTTCTTAATAAGTGATTTAACAGTACTGATTGGCATATTTAAGGCTTGGGACATCTTTCTATGTCCTTTTCCATCTTTATAAAGTTCCATTACCTTGTTATGCAGGACTTTTGACAGTTCTTTTCTGATCCCCATGGCTCAATAACTAGCCTAGTCAGTGCTTCCATGTAAGAGCTAAAAAACTCATTGACTATTTATACACTGACACTAATTGCAACTTAAAAAGTCACAGATGTGGGACATTAACCTCTAATTGGCATTTTAACCCGTGTGTGTCACCTTGTGTGTCTGTACCAAGGCCAAACATTCCAGGGTACGTAAACTTTTGATCATGGCCATTTGGGTGATTTCTGTTATCATTATGATTTAAAAAGGAGCCAAACAACTATTTGATAATAAATGGTTTCATATGATCATCATCCTTCAATAAAAGAGCATTTTTTGGCATGATCAGTCATATTTTCAATATCAATGCCAAAATTTCACAATTTCTGCCAGGGTATGTAAACTTTTGAGCACAAATGTATGTCTACAGACATGTGGCCAAATCTGTACCAAACCTAAAGTGAGGAAAAGGCTACTCATAGTTGTAGATCCAAACAGTACTTTATACATGTGAGTTGAGTGATGTTTTAACCCTTTTTCTGGAGGCACAATGGCACATGCAAATCTTGTCCTTCCATGACTTAAAGGACAAGTGTCAAAATTTCCATTCCTCCTTTCACAAGTTGGTAAAGCCACTTAGGTCGGTGTTGTCTTTTTTTCTTTTTTTTTTTCCTCCTGGAGGGTGCCGAAGCACTCATTCTTTCACACAGTAAACTTTCCTGTATCTCCAGCTCTACAGTTACCAGACATTTTGAGTAGACAAGCATTTATGTTGCTTCTTGGAAGAGGAATCATTGTTGGATCCTATAAAAGCTGTACATTATATCTCCGCTAAATTGCTGCTGTTATAAAATGAAACACTCAGTCTGTATCCAGACTATTGATTTTCCTACTTTATATCTGTTTCATTCTCTCTGTTTAATCTTCAATGCAGTGGCATACAACATAATTGTCAGCATTGCAGATGCAGAGGTTATCCACTTTCAAAGAACAGGTCATTTAGGAGAGCAACATCCCTCTGATTTTCCAAGCATTGCCTTTTTAATTATTGCAATAGTATTGCTGACAGATTGTATTGAGGGGCTGGTTGCTTGGAAACCATTAACAATACCAGATGTCGAGGGCTGTATGGAGCATTGATTAAAAGTTCTTTCTGCTTCATAAATATTGGTGCATTTCATATTCTCTCCAGTGGAAGAGGAGAGGTTTGTTTTACCACAGCTGTTGAGCTTGTTAAATTACTCTTCTAAGGGTGCTCATGATACAAGCTATTACATCGCTATTATGCAATAATCTGACAGCAGAAAAACAATAATAAAAGACTCCAAAATTTATGTGCCAAATGGCTGTCACAAAAGATTTCTACTTCTTTTTGAGAATTTGCCACTTGAAATAGTTTCAGGTTCTCTCTCAGCAATTGGCATTGTAGTGCAGTTTACCAACTGCCTTTTTTTATTTGTTTGTTCATTCCCAATTGATAAGTAATACTGTAAACAAGTAGCAGTGGCAGACAATCATAGAACATTAAAGTGGTCCTGAAATGTGCCTAAACTAACAAAACAGCTAACTGCAGGTACATTTTAGTACTTGTAAAGGAGTACACACCTGTCCATGTATCCAGGGTTGTCCTCACCCAGGGTGGTAATTTGCCAGCGTTTGGGTCTCTGGTGCCACCATGTTTACTGTAGGAAGCTCCTCATTGTGTATGCGCACGTCATGCTGTGCTTTGTGAATAAACCTGCAGCCTCCTGAGACCTGTGATGTGTCCCAGGAGGTTGTGGGCAGGGAGTGAGGTAGGGTGGACATCTGCTGAGATTGCCTAAAACATAAAGCATAATTTCCCTTTTTAGGTGAAGTTCCGCTTTAAATTTGGATGCATTGACACCAAGATCTGCTTTGGCTTATTCAAGAATAAAAATACATTTGTTGCAATAGATTTTTATTGCGCTTTTGCATGTTACACAACAATGGATAACCACGGGAACAGCAAAATTAGAAAATATGATCACAAACCAAAAGCTTCAACTGCCAGGTCGTTGTCATCTTGGTAGTTGAAGCAAAGAAACCCACATGGATTGTGGATCAGCACTATCTGAGGCTACCACATATACACACCACAGCTTGGATCAGGTCACGCGAGCAGCCATTTTTTGCATCAACTTCTATTCCTCACTGGATGAGTCATATTTCATGCCAACACTCAAATATCCTGAATACCAGCAGGGCTTCACAACTGTGCTTGGAGTAGCATCATTAAGTCTAGATGGATTGTCATCTTGGTAGATACCAACGAATATAAATCTTGAAACCAGAAACAAAAGAAAGGTAGAGGAGAGGAAAGGAATATATTAGGGGTGCGAAAGGTTATCAGGGAAGGGAGGGAAGGACCTCAGGCCCAAAAGAACACCCTCCGAATTTCTGGATTAATTCAGCTGTAGGGTGTCAAATAGTCAATAAAGGTCAATCAAAATCCTACGAGAGATAGTGTGTTAAGCCATGGATCAAAATCCATCTGGTTCAGCAGGGACCAGCCAAATTTCAATCCATGCATGGGCAAGGAGGTTTTACAGAAATTGATCTACCAATCCACTTCTATACAACCACCCTGTCAGATTTTTTTTCTGCTCGATCAGTGCCATGGGATGTAGCTGGCAGTGCTGATCAGTGTATTCTGACAGTGGGGAAGTCTCTCCTCTGTCAGAATACATTTAACTCAGCAGGGAGGTTTCCCCATCCACATTGAGTGTGTGGGACGGTGGAATTGGGTCTTTTTTTTTTTCATTCAACCCACTGGTTGAACAAAAAAAAAAAAAAAAACTCGTCTATGGGCTGCCTTATCCACAGGTCCCAAACGTTTTAGATAGTCAGTCATTTAGTCGACTAGTTTGGCTGTAATTTTTTGTTTACTCAGAAGTTATTTTGTTTTTGACTTGGGCTATGGTAGGTTGAGTGGACCACCAAGCTTTTGCCGGTATGTATTTAACCACTGTAAGGATAAAAGTGACCAATTTTCTTGGGTGTTTCGTGGAAGCTACAACCCATACATTAAGATGGGTCTCATGGATTTTTGAATATTTCCCTGCCTAATACAGTGTATAATAATAGATAGACATTGGACCAAAAATGTTTAGTTTTAGGACAGTCCCACAAATATGTTTGAGTCAAAAACTTGAAAAGTATTGAAGTTCATATATTAAGAAGGAGAGGTGAGCAATGGCAGCCTCCATACTTCCTAACTGCACATTTGCCTAACTTGCCAACTGTGTCTGTGTCTCATAAAATGTTTTTTTGTTGTTTTAATGAAAACAAAAATATCATCCAACATTCCAATTGGTTTTCCCCGATTTTGTTTTTCAGGTGCCTGTGCAGTCTTGGTTCGATGATATGGGGGACACAGAGCTTTTAAGCCTCATCCCAATCTTCGAGGAGCTCAGTGACTCCGAGGACATTTATGCCAGTCTTGGCCAACTGAGGGCCCCTTGAGTTTTCTCCTGTTGCCTTGAGTTTTTTTCAGGGGACAATTTTATATCTTTTTAATATTCTTTTATTTTTTTTCTGTTTAATCTCTCACACACGCAGTGCCTTTGGCCTTAGAGGACAAGGAACAAAAGCGGATATTGATATTGGGGCCTTTTCCAAGCAAGCTGCGTACAGTTCACACTCCTTATGACCTGCGTGCTTAGTGGCACGTTGGTGGTGAATGCAGGGATCTATACATGCCATTACTTTGGTGCACTAGTTGGAGAAAGTGTCCTTTTTAATAATGGTACCATGTACCTCCCTTTTCTAGTTCTGTACTGCTGTTTAGTCTTTATATCTTTTAATTAATCAAACTGTACAAAGGAATGCTACAATACTGAGAAATTACAGTATACATGCCGGTACTTTAAACAGCCTAAAGCTGAACCCCAGCCAAAACCTGTATTTACACATTTTTCACTTAAAAAAGGAACACTAATGCAGTCTGTCCCATTTCTGGCTGCTGCTTTATTGCTTAACATTTTTACTTTCATTAATGCTGTACATTGCTGTAAGCCCCAAACTTATGGCATTGAAACTTACAGTGCCATAGGGAGTACTGAGATTACTGCGGGTCGCTTGGCATCCCTGATATTCACAAAATGTCTTGCATTCTTTTAAATGAATGCAAGGTGCTCTGTGATTAGAGGAGGAGAGATTGCAATGTTCATTTACACCTCTTTCAATCACGAAGTGCCTTGCATTCAGGAAAAAATGGCAGGGATGGCTGGCGAGTAAGCAACCAGCAGTGAATCCTGAACCCCAGGTGGGACTGCAAGTTTCAGTGCTGGAGGTGCTAACAGTCCTTTGTGGTGTTAATTAAAGTATTAAACAATGAAGCAGCAGCCAGACATGGTACAGGCTGCATTAAGGGTAATTTTTTAATTGCCAATGTGTCAGAATTAAGTTTTGGCTGGAGTTCAGCTTTAATAACTTGATAAATACAGGATTTCAGGGACCTAAAGGGGAAGTAGAAGCCCAAGTAATGTTGGCACACTAGTGTTACACAATGGGTGGAAATCATCTTTATCTCAACTTTGTGTAATATCAAACACTTGTGTTTTGTAACAGGCATGTTAAAAGTTTAAGAAAACCTGTTGGTTTTAGAGAAAGTCATTCTGTAGCTTGAACAAAAGTGATAAAAGATGCAGCCTGTCTGTTTACAAGTAAAATCAGAGGTTTTGACTTTAAAATTGTACGTATATTAACTGGCAGTATCTGTATTATAGCTGCACTGATAATGCTGTTCCGAAAGCCATTTTTACGTTTGTATCCAATGTTTTTTTTTTTTACTAGTCTCCATAATTCTTATAGGACAGCAGAAAAATGAGCAATCACTGAAAGCAATACAGGGAGAATTTTGCTGTCTTTTATATGCTATTGAGAGTCCATTGTCCAGCCAGTACCCCTCAGGTGCTTACTGTACAGAGCATTCCCTCTCATGTCAAGTGTGTATCATGTCTGGTGACCACAGGAATAATATAAATTAGTACAGTAACTGCATGGGCGACTGCAGTAGTTCACATTTAACAGTCTCTTTCACCAAAACCATTCTGCACAATTTTAATTAACCCTTAGCAATTAGTTTGCCTCCCTACCCTTAAATATTGCTTCTGCTATCAAAATCGGTCTCTTTGTCCAAGTGACCAATTCAAGCTTATCTTTGCTGTGTTGGCATTCTGCAATTTTTTTACTTTTCCCAGTGGGATGATGGATCTTTTAGGTTTGTGTCATCCTAAGCACAAAGACTACCTAGTGTTTCAGAGCAACCCTGCCAAGGTACACATCTGAAATTAATGGGCCAGGAACAGACAGCAGCTTTGTTTTATTTCTGTTTGGATTTTTTACACTGGATGCATCCATGGTAGAAGGTGCCTAGTTGATAATGGCAATGATACAGGTTACTATTACCCTGATGTCATACAGGTATAGCAGTTAACAGTTGTGTTGATGATAAAAGTGAAAGAGATGAAAAAGGGCTTACTTAATCACTGGTAAACGTCATACACCCTTGTGTAGCAGTATCCCGTTTTATTATGTTACATTTTTTCTCCAAAATAGAATGATTTAATTAGTCCAAATATGTCAAAACCAAAGGGATTTTTAATGTTCAGCTGCTTTGAGATTTTTTATATATATGGATATATAAAGTTCACTATGCTGTTTTGATAGTTGACTTGAAGCAAAAATAATTGTCCACTGACTCTTATGAGGATCCATATAGCTTTACACTGAGGTCAGTATTGAATTTTTGCATTTTAAAAACTGTGGTGAGTGGTGCTTACCAGATGAAACCAGTCGCTGACATACACTACATAGGCAGTGCCTTAAAATAGTAAAGTAATGTTTTATATCATTTTAAAGTTGGAACATTGGCTTTACTGGTTTGTGCCAGTATCACCGAGCAGCAGAGATTGATAAACCATACACACATGCTCAGCTGACCCAATTTCCTCAAGACTTTAGCACTTCTCTGAACTGAAAAGGGTATGGTGTAGTATGTTTTTATAGGTATTGTAATTGGGCATGGTAGTTAGAGTTGGTTTGGATAGACAGGCAGACTTTAACAAAAGTTCTGAGCTGGTTTATTTCTAAAGGTTTTCCAGACTAAATTAAATTTTGACCATAATATTTGATGTAGTTATAATATATACCCTCTGTTAAAGACACCTATTAAAAAAATATGCAGGCTAGTGTTACTGACCTGCTTATGAAAAGGCTAGTTGCTTGGCTGTCTGGCATCAGAATTTTTGAGTCATTAACCCAGAACAAGTTTGTAGCAAGTGAAGTTGGACTTATCTAATTAGCTGGTTTAGGTCATTGATTCAAAAAGTATTAAAGCCCTAGAGATTAACATGCTGCCCAAACAGCCTTTTCAACAGAGGACAGCATGGTAGCCAAAGTATCTCCCTTTAGAAAATTTACTATGAAATAAAACCCACAGCTTCACCAAAGGAGACCGTACAAGCCCTAGTGGAACTGCATTACACTTGCATACACCAAACTGACCTTTAAAATTGAATGGCATTAATAGAGCCTTGGTATACTTCATGAACAGCCTATTGAGGGGAAAGAACCTCTTCATACATGAGAAGTGGTCAAATTTTAGTTTAGTCTGCAAAACCTTCCTAAACCTGTGTTGACTTTAATATAACTAAATCATTTTTCTGTTGAGACACCACAAGGGTCCAGATCATACGTTTAGTTTTACATGACTACGCCCACAGGATATCAAGAGATTCTGCTAAAATGCATAATTAAATACCAACTTTCTGGTTGTGGATGCATAGACACTCCATCTTCTCGCCCAGAGTCCATTGTCAGAACAACCTATTAGCATTCCTGTGTATGGTTTTATTAAGAGGGACATGTAAAACTAATGGTATTATCCGGTACCATATTATTGCTTTTAAATGTAAAGAGCTTTTACTGTGTAGTGCCTTTTGGCATCTTAGAAACATATTTAAAAGCTTAAAAAGTAAAATTTGTAGAGGGCAGGCTGTGATTTTACTTCTGATAATTGCCTTCTTCTCCCTTTTGTACCATAGAGGGTAGCCGTCATTTCCTGGCCTGTCTTCTACTGGTTCTGCATTTACAGGGTTGAGTAGGACTGTTAGTAATTGGACCTCAGGGGAATCTCACACACAGATAATGAAGATAATGGCTTGACCATTGCTGTGTCAGCCATATCTTGCACACTTTAGAGATGTCAATGCTGCACATAAGTCAGGCAGAACATGTACATTCCTCCGTGTGTGTGGCTTTCTGTGGTGGCTGGATGTGCGCTTGGGATCTGACCTTCCTCTTTGAGGGTCTGTGACAAGTATTAGGTTTTATTCTTTTTAGAACAATCAGCTGTTGGAGTGACTTTCAGCACATTGCTGTATTTAAGTTTCTACCGGAATGGATGGACTGATCATCAAACTATGTAAACCCTTTAAAAGAGCATGTAATAAAATCTATTTTTATGCCCTATTTGTCTATGTTTCTTTTGTTTAAATGTTTTGCTCATTACGTCATTAAAGATCAACCCAGCATGCTTGTTCAACCCAGCGAGCTCGGACAGCGAGCAGCGAGGTCGTTATACTAACTAAGCAATGTTAGTGCGGCAATCCACCACTGAGCTATTGTGTTCTGACAATTGTCCAGTGCAAGAAACGCTCTAAAAGGCACTTTTGTCTTCTTGTATGGTGATGATTAAATAACCAGTCAGTGATAAGTAGCAATAGAAACGAAAGTGGGAGACTACCCATACACACCCAGATGAAATCTGCCAGATATACACTGCAGCCTATCAGACCCAGGCTTAAACCTAATGCGCAGCCACTTGTGTCCCTAAACTAGAGCCGCCCAGATATCACTGGTATTACAGGTGAGGGAACACCAATCCATGTAAAAAAAGTCACTTTATTGAAGCAAAATATCCACTTACATATGTAAACCACAGCCAACTGTTGTCCTAATATAGGAGTCCTGGCTGGATGCTGTCACTCACACCTCTTGGCCAGAGAGGTAAAGGGAGCTGGGGCTGCCAGCAGAAGAGAAAAGACCCACTGGAGGAAGATTGTAAAGCCACTAACATTGATGGGAGCCACGCGGGGTGAAGCACACTCTAGACAGCAAAGGGGAGAGCCAAAGATCGGTGGAAATTGCGCTCACTAGAAGAAAGACTAGGAAGTAGGCCACAGGTATAGCACACCCAGGAGTCAAACTACCACTGGGGGAAGAGAATCAAGGAGCTGCACAGGACCCGACGGGTGGAACCCTTTCTCCTATGGATGGAAACAGGAGGGGGTCCATGGATGGTCGGAGATGCACCTTCTGGATATAACCTGGATGCCACCCAAATAGGTGACGCTTCCAGGACCCAAATTGCTACAGAAGCCCACCGTGGAAATCGTAGCACCTAAGGGGCAGCTACTTTGGGCCCCATAATAAGGACGGGCCCCAGAGCAGCTGCCTCTTTTGCCCCGCATTAAAGACAGCCCTGGTTGGGCATACCTGTGTATGGCTCGTGCCCCTCTGATGGCGGCCCTGTATGTATGTATGAATAACAGGATTTTTTTTTTTTTATAAAAAAACCTGTTTCTTGAAGTCCATTAAGATACAGGAATCAGTTATTCAGAAGCAACTGAGTAATACTGCTGCCTTCACCAGAAATTGGAAACTGGCAAACAAAAAAGCTTCTGGCCAACCAGTTATACCCCTCCCACACTCACTCATGCTTCAGTCTTTTTCAAAAAAGTATTAAAGTGTTACTAAATCCAGGACCCTGCATTCACTATATCTGGTCTCACAGTACACACAACATGGAAATGCAATTATTTTAGTAAATATAAACTGCTAAATACCTTTTCTCATCAGCAGTTAGAGCAGTCTTGTGACTTCAGCAGAGCACTGGTTAAAGCTTGTAGGAGTTTTTCTTTCTGCTCTAGGAAGTGAAACCTCTGACCCTCTGTCTGGAAAGTGCTGATTGGCCCTGTGCTGATCACATGCACCCTCCCACGATAGAAAAAAAACCCCTCTCTAGCCATACACACCAAACTGAACATGTGCATGTGGGAAGGGTTGTAACAGCGCAAACACTGCAAAGTCCTGGGAAATGGTAGTATGGGGTGATCATGGTATTAGTGGCTACTGTATGAAGAGCGTAGGATACCCCCATTTAACATCCATGACTTTACACTATTCACCTTACAGCAATGGTCAATCACTGGTTAATTGGTTAATTGATCAATTAGACTCACGTTCCCTATATATTCACCCCTGTTCATCCACCTCCCCCTGCTTGAAAAAGGAGAGCACTTCTGCCTTCCACGGCCAGTGCATCGCGTCGCAGTGCACCCTGGGATCTGACGTCATCACGGCCACGCCGCCGCTACGTTCCAGCGTGCATTCCATCCGGCTCTGAGGGAGGACGTGCACACCGGCCGGCCTCACCGCTGTTCCCCTCCAGCCACCACGCTGTTCCAGCCGAGAGCTGACCTCCCCACATCGCAGTAAGATGACGGCTCTTCACCCGGGTTACCACCCCACCGTTAACTATTGTTAACCACGGTTTTTAAGCTTATGATTACTTCACACATGTGAGTGTTTCTACATTTAGACTTGAATAAAAAGACTTATTGCACTTAGAGGCGCTTCTCTCTCTTTTTTTATCGAATTTTTTTATCAAATTTTTTTTTTTTTTTTTCTCCCTCTCTCATACACTACTGAATACTTTTCTATCCATTCACCTTCATCATGGAGCTACTCCATGATATTGAGGCAATCAGATATGATATCCTAGACAATTTCTTTGCCCTCTTTGCATCTGATTTATTTTCTGATCTTGCCATATTACCAAGGAAGACACGTTATCTCTTTGGGGGCAAATTTAAAAAATTAGACTCATTTCCATCGCCAACCACCAATGGTGGGACAAATTCTTCCTCAATCAATATCTTACATACATGATTACCCCTAGAGGCCTGAGAATCTTAAAGGCCTGCCCCTTCTTGGATCCTACAAACCACACAAATTGGCAAAATCTCTCTGAATTTTGTACCACCAAGTGGATAGAAGTCATCATCTCCCAAAGAGAGACCAAATTCCAACAGCATACACATCACATCCAAATCATGTTACAAGAATTCCTAGACAGCGGACACAAATTACCCACACAGTGGCTAAAAACTCTAAAAAAGAACACCAAACATCAAGAGAACCTCATAGTATCAAACAAAATTGCCAAATTTAAAAGAGATCTAGATGATTACAACCACAATAGAGTTTTCACTTTGAAAAATCACAGCATCCCCGCCCTCAAGGATTTAGTCCTCCCCCCCCACATCTAGAACATCACAACAACATACCAGACCACAACAACCACGATTCCAACACAATTCACCCATATCCCCCAACACACCAATCACTTCAACCACAAAAGCTCGCATAATAAAGACACACCCAAGTCTCGCCCCAACACTAAAACACCTCCCAATAACACTTCCAAAAACCAACAACAACAAAAAAACCCTATAAATATACCTCAGACCATCACCACCCCTATACCCATAACTGGTGAAACCACACCAAATGGCACTCAGATCCCCATCACCCACACAAACACCCCTCAACCCATATCCCCATCCACCGACGCCCATACTGTCATCACCCTTGGCCTTCCGGTTCCGAACAATCATCACAACCCCACTCTCATTTCTGCCCACCACTCCCCCACCAACACTTCACTGTCTTTTTTAGGTCAAAATCCCCCCCACAGAAAAAGAAAAAACACACAGAGGCTGTAGGGGACGACGACGACATAAACACTGCAACACACACCAAACACAAACACCGCAAACTGTAAAAATCTTCAACTTATCCAACCATCAACTAATCACAAACTGAAATCTCTCTGCTCAATCACGGTCTAAACTTTGCCCCCACTTCCCCACCCAACCTATTCACACTATTCAAAGACCTGAATAAATTTATACGCAATCTCACCTTAAAAAGATTCTTTCACATTCAATCCAAAAAAACAGCCTACAGCCATTTCACTTGACACAGACAATATCAACCCCCCAACCCCATCTGACTCAGACGCCTTAGACATATTAGAACAATTATTCGCTGAGTCTCACCCTGATGATGGCCCACCTTTAGATTTTACACTCCATTCACAAACTTTTATACCCCCCACCCGTGGCCCACACTACGCTCAGACCCAAATCAGTATTCAATCCCACACATTCTATATATGTGGGACGCACCATCAGACCCCTCCGTGCCAGGTTTGGCGAGCACAGACGTCTTATTGAAGATGGTAAAGACAAACATAGTGTCCCCCGCCACTTCCTTGAATATCACCAAAAATCCACTGATGGCCTACAAGTATGGGTCTTAGAATCCATACACAACAATCTCTCTGAGTCTGATCGTTTCAAAAAACTCTGTTCACAAGAAACTTATTGGATATTTACATTAGACACATTGTCCCCAGCTGGACTCAACGAGGAATTAGACATTAACATTATACTATAAACACTACAATCTCCCATTTACAGCCACTCAACACTCAAAATGATACTTTCCCTTTTTTTTTTTTTTTTTATCGAATTTATCTATTTTTTTTTTTTAATCAAATTTTTTTTTTTTTTATTCATTTTTTAATCCAATTTTTAGTTTATTATTTATAACCTTTTGTTCATTATTTATATTTTATTCTATTTTTTACAATGTAATTTACTCTTTATAATGTCATTTGCATGTACTATTTCCAATATGTTTATCATCCTACCATGTTAACACCCATTGTCAATATACCCGCTAGCAACATGTATATATGTTATAATTATTATGAAGCTCCTGTAGAGCCATAACCATATCCCACCTTGCAATCATGCTGTATTACCACTAAATATCTGCTCACTACTGTTACATAATTGATGTGCCAGTGCTGCAAGGTGAACATTTTACCCCACTAATCTCCCAGAATAAAATAATTTTTTTTTTCTCTGTTTCCTTTTTTATTCTGTATTCTTATTACCCCCATCAACTTTTTTCACATAGCTTCTTCGATTTTCAGCTGTTCAAAAATCTTTTATTGATGTCATTTTTCATTTCATTAATTTTTTTCATTTTTCTTTCTTTTTTTTTTTTCATCATTTTTTTCATTTCATCATTTTTCTTTCTTCTTCTGTTTTCTTATTTATTACATCCTCTCTTTTTTCCATTTGGTTTCGTTTACCCCCCATTTAACATCCATGACTTTACACTATTCACCTTACAGCAATGGTCAATCACTGGTTAATTGATCAATTAGACTCACGTTCCCTATATATTCACCCCTGTTCATCCACCTCCCCCTGCTTGAAAAAAGGAGCGCACTTCCGCCTTCCACGGCCAGTGCATGCTCCGAAACGCGTCGCAGTGCACCCTGGGATCTGACGTCATCACGACCACGCCGCCGCTACGTTCCAGCGTGCGTTCCATCCGGCTCTGAGGGAGGACATGCACGCCGGCCGGCCTCACCACTGTTCCCCTCCAGCCACCACGCTGTTCCAGCCGAGAGCTGACCTCCCCACATCGCAGTAAGATGACGGCTCTTCACCCAGGTTACCAGCCCACCGTTACCTATTGTTAACCACGGTTTTTAAGCTTATGATTACTTCACACATGTGAGTGTTTCTACATTTAGACTTGAATAAAAAGACTTATTGCACTTAGAGGCGCTTCTCTCCTTTTCTCATGAACATGTGCATGTGACCACAGGTTCAGTCTGTATCAGGTGGTCATTTCAACAAGAGGAGGGGCAGAGAAGAAAGGATCGAACATCCTTTTTACACAATGCAGAGGATTAACCCCTTAGGTTCCACAGTGAGTATAACCAGCATACTTTACTGCATATACAGACTGATTTTACTGTTGTGGGTTTAGTAACACTTTAAGAGTAGATCCTAAACCTAAAGGAGTGGGGCCTGTGTCCATTAATCAACTTTAATAAGCAGATTTTATGGTTTCTAAGGGACACAAGAATCAGTCATTCAGAGACATCGGGACATCAAAAAGCAGTTCAACTAACATAACAAGACAAATAGAAGCAGTAGTAGCCTGTACCTCAAAGAAATGCCTAAGGTCTTTACACCCGCAGCTGGCATCATGTAAGGCTCAAACATCCACCTGGTAAAACCCTGCATTCTCATGGTAAAACCTAGAGAAAGCATGTACAGAAGACCACACAAAAATGGTAGAACAAGAAACTGGTTCCTTTTTATAGGGGCCACGGGGAGAGAATTGGTCTTTCTAATGGAAGCAGTGGCTGAGAGATCCACCACAAAGCACAAACTACATCTAGGCATTGAAGATAATTTTCTTTCTGATGTACTGGAGTCAGACAAAGAGATGGAAGAACAATTTCCTGGTTGAGGGGAAAATCCAAAACCCTCATAAGGAGGTTCTATCCATCAATACTATCTTGTCCTTGTGTAGGATAAAATAGGGTTCTGAATAGGATAAGGCTGCTAGCTGTGAGACACACCTCACAGATACCAAGAAATGAAACCTTGTGAGTGATTGTGAGAAGGGGATCAATCTTGATAGGTTCAAAAGGCAGCTTCTGGGTCCTCATGCACATTGGATGTTTTTACAGCTGCTGTTTTTGGCTTTTGATGTTTTTTTCTACAGCCAGTAAACTCCCCACCATGTTATCCTATGTGTCCATGCACACATAGACTGTAATCATTGTTTTTTGGCTGGAAAGAAACCCAGAACTAGTGGGTCTCTAGAGGAGTTTAGCTGTAAAAATGCTCTAACGCTAAAAAACGTGGTAAATCGCGGCAAACCAGCATTTTTGGATGGTTTTTTGTCCCCCCAATTTTTTTTTTTGGTCAACTAAAACTCTGAAAAAACGCAGCTAAACATTAATACAAAAACACTGAACAACACGTTTTTACTGTGACTTTACACAGCTAATGTTACCAGCGTTATTAAAGCACCCAGTGTGCATAGAGTCTGAAGTACCAACAGAACCAGTCACAGATGGTTTTACAGGAGGCACTTCATGGGACACCCTGTAAAAAAAGATTTAAACAATGAATGGAGGTTTTTCAAATAAAATTACAGTGGCCAAGATTTGAATATTGATGGTATTCAAGGCCAAAAGCTAAACCAGACCTGCATGCAGAAGGGTCAGAATTCTTCCCATGGAGTATTTCCTGTGATGAAAACTCCTTCCCACTCTATATTGTAAAGCACTGAGCAAACTGTTGGTGCTACATAAATCCTGTATAATAATAATAACAAGCAATGTGCAATGGCAGACCTTAAAGTGGAACTTTAGTTAGAAAATTAAGTCCTGCTAGATCACTTCATGCCACCCCTTCTGCAGGTATAGCTATGTAAAATGCTAAAAATAAGTGCCTATACTGTTTAAAATCCAGTAATACACTGCCTCACTTCTGCACATGCTGGGTTGCTCTCTATTTTTAAACACTATGCCAAATTTGTAGAGATCAGTCTGCTGATAGCCTAAAGATTTACTGCTAGTCAGGGGCTCTGGGCTTCAGCAAAATGGCAGTCTCCAGCAAAAAGAAATAGGGACAATACTGGAGGCAATTTACAGCATACACTAATTTTGGTAGCATAATTATTAATGTGGAATGTATCGTAGGTTTCTTGCTAAAGAACATAAATTGATACCAAGTTTTTTATGGGTAAAGTTCCACTTTGAGAGGCAGATTTCCTAGCTTTTAACATTGTGGGAGTTACAGAATCAGAGAGATCCTGGTCTCTCAAGACTAGAGATGAGCGAATTATTCAAAAATTCGATTCGGCTGATTCGCCGAATTTGCGGAGAGAAATTCGATTCGATGCGAATTTATTCGCCGCAAATGTAACTTATTAAAAGGGTTTCTAGGCTTCAGAGAGCCTTTATATTAGTGCAGAACACTGTACCTTTAATTTAAATGCCCTTGGAGTCTGCTGGGGAAGAGAAATAATACTGTCAGTCAGTATGACATGCAGATGAGTGCCGTCGATCTTAGAATCACCGCACACTTCACTCATTTGGGCAGTCACGGGGCACGACGAAGAAGAAGAATAAGAATGAAAAGAAGAAGAAGAATGAAAAGAAGAAGAAAAAGAATGAAAAGAAGAATGAGAAGAAGAATGAAAAGAATGAACAGAAGAAGAAGAAGAAGAATGAGAAGGAGAATGAAAAGAAGAATGAGAAGAATGAAAAGAAGAAGAATAAGAATGAAAAGAAGAAGAAGAATGAAAAGAAGAATGAAAAGAAAAAGAAGAATGAAAAGAAAAAGAAGAATGAAAAGAAGAAGAATGAAAAGAAGAAGAATGAAAAGAATGAGAAGAAGAATGAAAAGAAGGAGAAGAAGAATGAAAAGAAGAAGAAGAAGAATGAAAAGGTGAAAAGAAGAAGAAGAAGAAGAAGAAGAATGAAAAGATGAAAAGAAGAAGAAGAATGAAAAGATGAAAAGAAGAAGAAGAAGAAGAATGAAAAGATGAAAAGAAGAAGAATGAAAAGAAGAATGAAAAGAAGAAGAATGAAAAGAAGAAGAAGAAGAAGAATGAAAAGAAGAAGAAGAAGAATGAAAAGAAGAAGAAGAAGAATGAAAAGAAGAAGAAGAAGAATGAAAAGAAGAATGAAGAAGAAGATGAAAAGAAGAAGAAGAATGAAAAGAAGAAGAAGAAGAATGAAAAGAAGAATGAAGAAGAAGAATGAAAAGAAGAAGAAGAATGAAGAAGAAGAAGAAGAATGAAAAGAAGAAGAATTCCAGTACAGCAAAAAGTGTATCTGCAGAGAGCTCCACTATTTCTGACAGTTCTCTGACAGTTCCTTCACATTTACAGCGGTTGAAACATTGTATCTATTTATTTCCGAATAAAAACATCTGTATCCTAAATGGAAACAAATAGATACAATGTTTCAACCGCTGTAAATGAACTGTCAGAACTGTCAGAAATAGCGGAGCTCTCTGCAGTGACACTTTTGCCGGCTGATCGGGGAAAATTCGATTCATGCACCCGAAGTTTGCTAAAATTCGGATTCGATGCGAATCGAATTTTTCCTGATATTCGAAACGAATTCCACTTCGCCAAGTTCGATTCGCTCATCTCTACTCAAGACCTAGGATTCAACGGCCATACCAGTAAAGTTAGCGATCATGAAAGAGGATGGTGGACCAGTCCTTGGGATAGGGGATCTGGTCAATCTGGAATGAGCTATGCCAGAAGTCTGATCAGGTCAGAGTACCTTGACAGCCTGGGTCAGCTCGTAACTGAGGGAATCACTAGAATGCCCACCGTCACAATCCAGTCGTGTAGACTAGGAAGGAGATTAGAGGAATAAAGGCATAGATTAGGCTGTACTGATCCTCCAGAGCCACCAGAGCATCCACTGCTTTCACCAGAGGAGAGAAATTTTTCCAGTTGTTGAACCTGGAGGTTACCCATATGGGGGACAAAGCTTCTGAAGCCTCCCCAGGTGCAAAAAACCATTCCTCCTGGATCCAGGTGCTGCCAGCTAAGGTAGTCTGCCTGCCATTTGTCCATGTCAGGAACATGAATGGCAAATAAGATGGGAATATGAAGTTCAGCCAAGGCTAAAATCCTTTTTACCTCTGGTTCCTCCCTGATGGTTGATGTGTGCTACTGCAGAGGCATTGGTCGACTGAAATCCTGAACAGATGACCCTCCAGGTGTCAAGTGATGTAGGGACAGCAAATTAATTCTGAGCTCCAGAATGTTACTCAGTAGGTGAGAGCTCTCTATCCACCAGCAAGGTATATATCACTCCTCCCCATCATTTTTATGCTGGCTTCCCTTAGCAGGATTTTTCAAGACAGTGGGACAGCTTTCCCCCTCTCCACACTAGGCCAAAGATAACCTAATCTTCATGCTCAGGGGAGCAATTTGTCGAATGACTGACCTGATTTATCACACGACAGAATGTTATGTTGTAGGCAGAGGCGGACTGACAACTCATGGGGCCCCTGGGTCCTCGCCCACACTCAAACCACACCCAAATAAGCCTATGAAAGGTACCAGGGACATCTCATGGGGCCCTCCACTGACACCGGGCCCTCGGGCAGTGCTCGAGTTCCCCAATGGTCAGTCCGTCCCTGGTTGTAGGAGTGTTGAGTGAAATTGAGCAAATGGTATTGCCTCAAAGGCTTAAGCTGTGTCTAGGAAGAGACCAGGATACCCCAAGTGATAAGTTGGCCACAGAGTTAGAAACAGTCTTTCCAGTGTGTGGCCTAGGCTACTTTTGCTGGATGACATTCTTCATAAAGGTAACCAAAAACACATGTGCCATCAAAGAGCATGTGTATCAAGCACTTTTTACATTACTGTTCCTCAGATTAAATTTTTAGCCAAAAAGTTCTCTGCATAATTACCAACGAGATATCGTGTTAGGCTGTAGGCATAAGTGCCCTACAAGTACAGAAAGTACAGGATCGGTAAAGATAGGTGTATCGCTTGACATCTTTTTATTCCATTTCCCTGGTTTGGCAAACTGGTTGCATAGCAGGACCTGTTAGCAAAACAATACTTTAGAAAGGGTTTCTAAATGTTTGTTAATGGGATTCTTAGACACTGGTGACTCCTCAACAGGTATGGTCTGTGTTTTGTTTAGATGGGAAATCGCCAGATTCTAAGTGGGAGCAACCCACTTTTTGATAAATGTCTCCTCAGAAGGGTAGTGGTCTGTAAAGCATTTAGGAGGAGTGAATAGATTTCCAGTCACCATACAGAACAGAAGTGGTGTGTATCGGAAACGTTTTTATAGCCATGGAGCCTTCCAAGAATCCCAGATTAGTAACGGCATTAGTAGAATCTACAGGGTGTTGTTTATTTTTATGGTGGTGTACACTACATCAATTAAAAAAAGAAAATAGCATTTCTAAGCCTCTGAGCTACAG